TGAACACACAAACACACACACACACACACACACACACACATTTTTTTATTTATTTATTTTTTCCGGAATTTTCAGAAAAGTCCACTTTCATCTCTGTCAAGTGGACTTTCAAAACGGTGACTCAGATATACGCAAGAAATATTTATTACAAGAAAAAGTGGCGCGAAGGTGACAAAGTATAAATAAAGACGCCGGCACAGACACCAGGATAAAACGGGAGAAACAAAAGGCGCTTGCAAAAGGCAAGGAAAATATAAACGAAAATAGCTGAAGGCTGGTCACTCTCAGGGCATCATTGTACATGCCACAATTGGACCCTCGGCTGTAGTTTGGACACCCGTGAAAAAAATGACTGGAGATAACCAAACCTTGAGTTCCATATCATACAAGAGGCTTAATCCCCCTATCTTGTGATGCAGAGCTACATCCAGAATTTCCGGGACCGGCAAGTACAGGCTCAGCCTTTCCCAGGACAGCTGCTTGGTGGTCCGCACGCCGCAGTGGACCTGGGCTACGACTCTGGCTCGACGGCGCCCTTCACTGGGGCCACAGGACCTTTACTACGAGCCTAACGCATCACCTGGACTCAGTCAAGACACGCACTTGCTGTACTTGCACCTGTGTGTGCTATGTGTGCACACCTGTGTTACTTGTATCCATGCATCACTGCACAATTTCCCTCTAACACACACACACACACACACACACACACACGCACACACACACACACACACACACACACACACACACACACACACACACAGCAACTATTATGTGATGGGTCGACATCTGTTTCAGCGCCTCAGGGTCAGAGGTCAGAATGCAGACAAACCTCAGGCACAGGCATCCTCACAACAGACAACAAGTGATCCTCGGTCTGCAGGCCAAGAGTGCCAACTGGATTCCATTTGCCACCTTTCAAATGGGGTTTTGCCCCCCTTGGTGCTGGACCATTTTGTCTTCAAGTTGATTTTACTGTAACGGGTGCCTTGCTCCTCCTGTGACTAAGGAGGGGTGTACTGCCGCTTTTTGGGTGCACATACAGGGTCACATTTGCTTCAGGGCTTGGCTTGTTGTCTTCACCATGCCTGAACCTGTGACGAGCATGCATGTACAGCCGACGACAGTGCTAGAAAGAAAGCCATATGGATAGTGGCACCCTGCCACAACTCTCCCAGCATGCGTGCTGGAAGCGTTGGATGTTTTGTTGCAGCTTGCATTCAGTGCCACCTTGTCACACTCCCTTCAGAACCCCAAAGATCATTTCGACTGCCACATGTTCTAGCTCATTATTGTGCAAAGGCACTTATTTTATATCAGAAAAAATATGACAGCACACCACCAAACAGAAATGTCACCAAAAGTACTGTTCAGTAAACCCCCCCTCCTTCGCCGGTTCCAGCTTCCAAGTCCCGCAGTTTCACGGATATCTTTGTACAGTTAATAACAATATATGATATTTTGGTCTAACTCTCATTAGTTGACCACAAGATAGCTGTAAATTTATTTTGAATGAGACCATGTACATTTGAAAGAAGAAGAATGAAACAAAGTGCTGTGTTTCATCACAGTCCAGATTGTGTTGAAAATTACACCAATGAACTAATTTTTACACTTTTTTTGTCATATATGCAAGTAATCTGTTCTGAATTATTTTTTTCCCACTGATTCCAAATTTGACCTCATTTTTTTTCTCTACAACATCAGATTCTAATAATAATATGTAATATATTAATAGATATTAAGATATTTATGAAGGAATCATTAGAAACTGGAGATTTTTTTCTGGAACATCATAGCTATAAATTAAAAAGTACAGGAAAATATTGTGCAAGCTTTTATACTTTCTAGGTCAAACTTAAAAATTAAAACATTTAAGTATTTCAAAAACCCGATGAGCTAGGAAAAAAAAATTGGAACACAAAGCCATCTCTGATTCAAATTTGCTGTTGACCAGTCTTACTGAATGTCAATCTCCTTCAACCCTGATTTTTATGCCTACAGAAAATGATGGCTATTGGTTAATTTTATAATGTACAGCTTTGGGCATGATTATTGACTTATATTGTGAGATAAGTTTGCTTGGAAAAAAACAGCATTTATTTACTGTAAACATATTGAGGGTTTGGTACACTGGTACATTGTACAATATTTTTGTGTTAGCCATTGCTCTTGCTCTCTCTCAATACATTGTATGTGATTAAATGTGTTTCTATTATTTTAAGCGTGTTTAAAGAACTTTAAAAATTCAAGTGCCATAAATGCTATAAAAAAAAATCTACCCTCGAGAGTATTTAATTCGGGTATTTCTATATCGCGGGTTTCACAATTTTTGTGGGGATTGGGGAACGTAACCCCCGCGATGGAGTGGGGATTACTGTATATATACTGAACTCATGATGATCTCATCAAAATTTACCGTGTGTGAAATGTGGTCCTGTTTAGTTAATTACAAAGCATTCTGTTGTTTGAATGGCTGCAGGTGTCAACACAGGTTAGATTGATCGTCCACCATTTATAGAAGAGCATTTCATTGTTCTGCCTGTCACTGTATAACTTCTGTTGTTGTCTGACAAAGCAGCCTGGTAACATGAGTAAGCATCAGAGAGGTAGATAAAAGGATGTGAAGATCTCCTTAATGGAATCATTTCTTTAAAAAAAAAGGGGGGGGACAGAGGGAGAATGAGTCTTGATCTTTGTAAAAGCAAGGAATGAATGTACATGGTTTGCATGACCTCGAACACACGCGCACACACACACACACACACACACACACACACATTTAACAGTGGCTTCCTTTAGACTCCAAAAACCTACAAAGTCCTCTGGCTGCACCCAAGTCAACTTTCACCAACATTTTGTTTTCTTGGAAACACACACGCATATATGTGTTGCTCACATGTTCCGACGCCGCTTTGCCCCTGCCCACACGCCCACTTTAATCTCCTCAATCTGTCTCATCTTGATAACGTGTTCTCTAACCTGTCTGTGTATGTAGAAATATGTAGATAAAAATCATTGGTATATGCACAAACACATTGATAATAAATTCTGGTGATGTGGATCACATCCCTTGACTGTTACTTGTTATATGCTTCATTTATTTTCTTGTAACGTTTGTCACAACTTGTTGGTATAATGTACTGACTTGCTGAACACCCACACAACACAAAGAGCAATTTAAGAAACACCTAAAGATATCACAGCAACTATGGCCTGTTTCAACCCTTTTTCATGCTTCAGCTTGTCTCAGTACATGTGGCTTGATGGTCTTGATGAAGACCTATCTCTTAAATGCCTTTCAGTGCTACAATCAGACGTCGCATTGGAGCCGGGAACTCAAGGTGGGAGAAAGGGAACATTGAGAGACGGCCGCCATTGGCCCAGGTCAATGATAAAACAAAGGCACTGCTGCTTCTATTTTGTTAGTGTAAGAACTGCACGTCAACATAAAAAAATAACCCCCCCCCCCAAAAAAAATCTTGTGCGTTGGCGTGGGCGTGTAGCGACGTCACTCGAGTGAAGCGCGACTCAGCAGTCATAGTCCGCTGCTCTCCGCTGTGCGTGCATCAGCGCGGACGTGTACGCACTCGCGTCCTTTGGCTTCAACCAATCAATGCTGACGCAACGGACGTTACACTTCAAAGAGCTTTGATCTACGACAACAGCTAAGCTAGCCTAGCCACGACAACAGCTAAGCTAGGGAGTTGAGTACTGATGGCAAACTGAAGCATCATGAAGCCATGAGGCTTTCCATCCAATTGGTTCGCTCCTGGGCCGAAGCATCATGAGGCTTCATTTGTTCTATTGCGCCTTCACGTGGAAAATAAATGTTATGACAGACAGAGTGATTAAAATGATACCATGGATTTGATGGGGTCAAAAGGGCAGGGAGTTGTGATGTGAATGAATGTGCATGTGTTACTTGCAAGAATGATTGCTTTATTTTAGACATTGACATATAAACAAGGAACAAGACACACCTTTCATTCATTTTTATTGAGGAAAACTAGCATTTCCATGTTTTTGGCTTTAAACGGTTTGTTTTTTTAGATAGGATTTCTCCTGCTTTTGAAAATAGTCTTTCGCAAGGGACAGATGAGGCCAGAGGACAGAGAAAGGTTATTGCTAGTTTGTAGAGGTTTGGGTAGACATGTTTGTGCAGCTCCCAGCTATGCTGTTTTTTCATTGCATGTTAAAATGGCTAACCTGGGCGTGGTTCTATTTGAGTTGTCTCCTAATTTTCATGCAGGGCCCTATAATGTCTCAACATAGATGAAGGATTCTCTTGGTGCCCAAGTTCTTTAGAACAAAGTTTGCACTTCACCTTTTGAAATATCCATCTGTATGTTTCTCTTCTTTTCCTTTTTCTGTCCAAATATAAATATTTTTCTACACAATAGCAGTCTCGTCCACGACGTCTTTTTTCGTCCCACCCGGGTTTAGCCAATGTGTTTATAAAGAGATCAAAATCTCTTTAGGCGTGTGTATGTGTGTGTATGTGTGTGTGTGTGTGTGTGTGTGTGTGTGTGTGTGTGTGTGTGTGTGTGTGTGTTTGTTGCATCGTGAAAAAAAAACGGACGCGTATAAGCTGCTTAATGGTTTAGTCATGATTTGGAGGGGGTGGGGAATACAATTTGTTTCTTAAGTCAAAAAACGCCACTCCCCAAACAAAAACGTGTATTCAATCATCTTTTTAAAACGTTTTTTAAGTAACAAAGGAAAAGAATCACTGTCAAAGTTTCATCGAGTTGTTAGTGTACCAAAAGTTGATCATGCCCAAATCAAGCCACCCCGACAATTTTTTAAACCTCATGACAGTACTGTCCACATTTGTTTCACTTTTAGTTTCTTTTTTAAAAGTTTTAACACCTCCCGAGCGCTAGATGTCGCTGTAACCATACTACTGTATTCCTCTCTACACATTTGTTTCACTTTTAGTTTCTTTTTTTAAAAGTTTTAACACCTCCTGAGCGCTAGATGTCGCTGTAAGCATACTATTCCTCTCTGCTGCTGTTCTGTCATGAGTCAACGAGTCCCTGCTTCCTCCGTTGCAGCTTGTCACTCATTGACCGGTTCTCGTACTGGTCTCAAAGTCCAACTAATGCAGGTGAGATCATTTTAAATTACTCTTTTTAGTGTGGGATGCGCCAGTGGTGCTTTGACAGAGACCGCAACCTCGACTTAAGTTGAAACAACAAGACAACTGAACAAGACTTTGGTCGTAGTGACGTGCAGGTTTGCTAGTAAAGGTTAGAAAACAATTATTGATCCATTGTCGGACCTAGACTTGGACTATGTAATGTATCCCCTCATGTTTAACAGATGCTTTTGCCCATTTTTCTTTCACAGTCCGTAATAATGAAGAGCTCCAAGGAAGCCGTACAGTCAGCAGCTAAAGAGTTTTTACAGTTTGTCAACAAAGGCGTGTCTCCATATCACGGTAAAATCTGATTAGTTGTCATTCAAGTGCATTCAAAATAGTTCTTCTGAGATTATTTTCTGTCGTATATCAGTCGATCTTGACATTCATCCTTACTTATTGTGTGTCCTTTGTGACAGTTTTATTGGGCTTGGGCATTTATTTTCCTTTAAAAAAAAGTCTTACCAGACATACCCAAGCAAAAATGTCACAAAAGTGGATCCACGGGTTATGTATGTGCCTTAGGTCGTATAGTAGCAGATGTATCATTGTTCTGCCTGTCACTATACTTTACTGGCATAACTGGATGAACAAATATACATTATTTGTAGCAAATCATAATCACACTAATCACACTGATGATCTTTAACAAAAGTAATATGCGAAGATTTCCCCAAAAAGGCTGAGTGCGGTTGAAATGGCCCCTTCAACTTCATTACATGCCAAGAATTTTGAAAATTGATTGTTGGGTTCTGGAGAAATTAAGTTTTGTGTGTATGTGTGTGTGTGTGTGTGTGTGTGTGTGTGTGTGTGTGTGTGTGGGGAAAAAGTTTTTTTTGTGTCTCCCCCAAAAAAAAAAAAAAAAAAAAAAAAAAAAAAGGTCATAAAACACTTGAGTAAAACAGTGTACTTGATTGTTTCTCAATATACTTATCTCCTTGACAGTTTTGTTTCCTCTGCTACTCTGGGAACTTTTTTCCAATTGGCTGACAACTTTTGCTTAAAAATATCCACAATCAGCTCATATGGATCAGGCTTCTGAAAGATTTTTCAAGGCATCGCGTTAAAATGGTCATGGTGTTTCAAATGGCGTAACTTGTCCTAAAATTTCAATTCAAATAGCACAAGTGGAACCTATGGAATAGGTTATGTACTTATTGTTTTGTTTTGCTTTTTTTTTTTTTTTTTTTTTTATTAATACAGAATTTTTTTTTTTATTCCACAAAGATGTCGGTCACTTGTAACATTGCTAATAACAGCACACTGGTTGAGAGTCACTCCTCTCTAATAACTTGAATCTTTTGTGGATGACTTCTACCAATTGACTTGTGAACAGGTCAAACTACGTCTTTGAGGTTGAGATAAGATAACAGGGATCTTTCATTGTGTCTCACCTTTGCACTTTGAAATCCTAGCGCCGATAAAATAATCACACTTAGAAATGACATCTTGGTGATTACGAAAGCTATGCAAACGCAAAGAAATAAGTGTGTCGTCTTCAGTGGTGGAAGAATGCCGGAAGCGTCTGCTGGAGGCGGGATTTGTCGAACTGAAGGAGAAGGACAAGTGGGACATCCAGCCGTCCAACAAAGTAAGTTGGTCTGGGCATGTGCTGTTGTGGTAATAATAGTCTGTAAAAGTGAACATTCTGTGTATTTTGTAGTACTTTGTGACCCGGAACTTCTCCAGTGTCATAGCCTTTGCAGTCGGGGGGTGTTACTCGCCTGGAAATGGCTTCTCCATGATTGGAGCCCACACAGACAGCCCCTGTCTCAGAGTGAGAACGCAACACATTTATGATGTTTAAAGCCCACTCAACTGACACAACATGTTCTGTTTTGTTTTTAGGTGAAGCCAAGGTCCAAGAGGACAAAGCAAGGCTGTCTTCAGGTGGGCGTGGAGTGCTACGGCGGAGGCATCTGGAACACCTGGTTTGACCGTGACCTGACCATTGCAGGCCGTGTCATTGTTAAGGTAATGTTAATAGAATCTAGGCTTGTAAAGTGATGGGATTTGTTCCAGAAAGTTTCTGGCAAATTTACGTGGGAAGTTAAGATGGAGTTTTGGAAATATTCCAAACTGGAAACTTTCCATGGAGATTGGGGATAAAATATATCACATTCAAGCATAAAATACAAAGAATTTGTTAGGTCATAAGAAGACAGCCATGCAAAAACAGATATTGTAGCTCTATATCCCCGAATGCAAAGACATTACAGTACTGTACTTCACTGTAAAAAAAAACAACAAACAAACAAAACAAAAACGCAGAAGAAAAGTGCTACACATAAATACAATTTGAACATAAAACAATAAACACCAGGTCACACAAAACCAAGGGCAGAGTCTCATGCTGAGTATTAATTGTTCCATTTTTTTCTACGTCACACCAGCGATGGTTTATCTAAAGCTCTAAAGCTCACTGCCTGTAACCACATTTTGTCCTGCAACACAAAGCCCCAAAAAATTAAAAAAAGGTGACAGACACACAGAGCTAGAAAAACTCATATCTGTGAATTCTCATGAATTCCCCTGAAAAGTTTCAGCCTGGAAAATTCCCAGAGTTTTGCAACCCAAGTAAAATCTCACAGTGTGCTTGGGCATTCGAGACATTGCTCATACATGTGTATTGTCATGCAGGGAGATGGCAGACTGCTCCATCGGCTGGTGCACGTCCCACGACCTCTGCTCAGGATTCCTCACCTGGCCATTCACCTACAAAGGGACATTAACGACTCTTTTGGCCCCAACAAGGAGAACCACCTGTCAGTAACTTGGAGAGATGTCCATAATTGTACTTTACTGAGCTTAACTTCTCAGGTCGCCTCTCGTGTTATTTTCGCAACATCCATCCATCCATGTTCTGCTGCTTACCCTTAGTCACAGGTGAGCTGGAATCTGTCCTGACTCACTCAGATCCAGAGGCAGGATACACCTCGGGGTCACTCAGAGAAAATAGACAGACAATCAAGTCTTCAATTAACCTAACATGCATGCTTTTGAAATAAGGGAGGAAACTGGAGTACCAACACATGCATGAGAAAAACATGCAAAACAGGAACCCAAACTATTGAGTGACATTCTTGTTCACCATGGGCTTTATAACATAACAAATCTCATAGTTTTTTTTTTTTTTTTGGCATAGTATTGTGTATTTCCATTAAGAGGTTTTGCTGACACAATGATTTATCTCTCAGTGTGCCCATTCTTGCCACCGCCATCCAGGAAGAGCTGGAGACAGGCAGTGCATCATCAGGGGACGCCGTCAGCGCTGCCAGCACGGTGAAGATGGCACTGACACATCATATTGAGCACACATGTTACGGTCTGACAACATCAGTAGCTAATTATAATGTTGGACATCATTGTGTTTGGTGTCCCCTTCAGGCAGACAAGCATCACCCAGCACTGGTGAAGGTTTTGTGTTCGGAGCTGGAAATTGAGCCGGACGCCCTGCTCGACTTTGAACTCTGTCTGGCAGACACTCAGCTGGGGGTGAGCCTGTCCTTCCGCCAACTCCACATTAATTGCCTGTAAACTTGGGAGGTATTATGTCACATTTTCTCCATCTGTCATCTTGTTATATGTGTGCAGGCATTGGGAGGTGTGTATGAAGAGTTTATTTACTCTCCTCGCCTGGACAACCTCCACAGCTGCTACTGTGCACTGCAGGTCTGACTCGCTCACATCTAAACACCTGCAGTCTCTGGACCAAGCATGGGCAAATGGTGGCCTGTGGGCTTGACCCCACTCTAAGTGGGCCTGCTGATTTTTGGAAAAGAAATGCATTTTTTAAACAATTCTTCAAAAAAGACTGATGAATATTCAATGCATTTTGTATGAGACAAAAATGGAGGAAATGGAGTGGAGGGAGCGGGGTATTCAGAAGAAAATGAGCCGAAAAGCCCCAGAAATTTAAAAAAAGAAAAAAATGGAAAATATGCGAATCCTTGGGTTCTGAATCACAAGCATGTAGGGGTTGACTTTGCAATAATTGCAAGATGCGGGTCCCAGGGTGACAATAGTTGAGAACCACTGGTTCATATGTTGCAAAAACAGTCATTTACACACATGCTGAGCCTGGGTGGCCATCATGCGTTGAAATGTTATCGTCGACCGGCTGTCATGTGCTAAAAAATAAAATGCCCAGGCCCAGCCCGTAACTACACCGTTGGGGAAAATGATGACATTTTCCTAAAATTCACAATGACAATCCCACCCCTGGGAGTGGCATTGTAACGGAGCAGACAGACCTGTTTTCTTTGCCAAAATTTTGTACTGAAGTAACGCCTATTATTCATGTTCTGTGCAGTGTCATTTTTGTTACATAATATTTCCAAAAGGAATATTTTTATAAATTTATTCATTTATTGACAAATATTTAAAATGTTTTCCCCCAAGAGTAGGGGTGCCAAACTCATCTTTGTCACATGCCACTTAAGAGTTATGTCTTCGCTCGGACGGCCGTTATGACAGTCTAACCAAAAACATTTTAAATTGTCTCATCATATTATTACTTGTACCCACAAAATGGATGGATTACTAATTTTGAAATCACTCGTCAACTATAATAATTTGTTCAATTATTTTTCAAGTGAGTGTAAACAGGGTAACAAAATGGTTGCAAAATCTCAGCATTATTTATTAGACATGACAATTTGACATTTTAGTACTGATTTTAGCAAGGACCATGAAAGTTGACGTGCATGATTTGCTTTCACAGGCCACTTAAAGTGTTGTGACAGGCCGGATTTGACACGCCCTAGAGGAAATTGTCTGTAAAGGGAAAAAATATATATTTCTGTGTGATTTAATGCAGTTGATGCGGGTGGGGGGGCTTGACAGTTTGAAGCCTGTATTTGATATCCAGAAAGAACTTTCCAAAAGGAGGAAAAATCCCAAACTCTAGTATAAAACCTTTGTTGTTTCCCCTTTTAAAATGTCTTCTTCTTCTTCTTCTTCTTCTTCTTCTTATTATTATTATTATTATTATTATTATTATTATTATTGAATGAAGAAAAGAGGATTTCTATTTTAATAGTCATATTGCCCAGACCTATGTTGTAGTGAGTCACCATTATTGATCATTTTCTGATGTGGTCCACTTGTTACTGACTTGTATCAGGGCCTGATTGAATCCTGCTTGGGAGACTCGCTGAGCCAAGATCCCAACATCCGCATGGTGACGCTCTTCGACAACGAAGAGGTTTGTGATGCTATGACTGATCTTCCTGCTATATTGGCCTCTTCTTGTCGTTATCATATGTAGATGTTCCCAGATTGACTTAGTTATCCTGTAACCCCCCTCAAATTAAACTGTACGTTCATGAAATATGCTTGTTGAAATCAGCATTATGCTCAAATGCATTTCTTTCCACTATACACTGTATTTAAGTTTCCTATCAAGAGTGAACCTTGAAATCAAAATCCCTCATTTAGTCCCAATAATGTCCATGGAAGGTTTCCAGCTTGGAAAATTAACAAAATTGTGTAACCTTAGTGGGAAATAGTAATGCAAAATAACCTCTGACTCTTGACTGTGTTTTATAGGTGGGCTCAAGGAGCACTCAGGGGGCGGAGTCCAACTTAACTGAGCTCATCCTCAGCCGCCTCGCCTCTTCCTCCTCCAACCCCACCGCTTTCCAGCAGGCGGTGCCACTCTCCTTCATGATTAGCGCTGACATGGCTCATGCTGTGCACCCCAACTACCAGTCAGATCACAAAGACCATCAAACCAAAAAAAAAAACCCTAACAAAACGTGTTTCAATGAATTAATGAAATGTCTTGTCTTCACAGGGAAAAGCATGAGGAGAACCATCGGCCAGCTTTTCACAAGGTAAGGCGCTCCGAGACAAATTTTATTAATGATTCCCATGTATCATTACCGTAGTTATTGTTGTTCCTCGATTTACATCAATCAGTCCTCCCATTAAAATGAAATGAAATGTAATTGAGTACCAGAATCCCGAAAAATACACCACTGTTTTTGGGGGGTTGTATATATAATTAATAAAGGAAACTAGCACTGATTGTAAAGTTGAATATTAAAATATAACAATGGAGAATGTCAAGAAACTGGCTATGAAAAGTGTAATTAAGCCAAAAGTCAGACACACTGTCATATTTTGTATTAGTGGTGATCTCAAGCTTTGACTTCTTTACCTTGGTTGGTCATTTACCTCATGGATAGTTTAGTCTCAGTGTGTGTTCATTGTGAGTGTTTTCATTTTGATTTTTATGTGTTTGAGAGTCCTGTCAATAAATGGCTGAAGATGCATTGGTGACTGTCGCTGTCATGACGTGCTTTTTGTTGTTTGGATTTAGTGTTTCATGTAATGTCTTGTTTGGTTGTTTGTCTTTTGCATGTCTTGCTTGTTAGTTTTTGTTCCCACCTATTGTTGTCAGACTCCCTCCGACCACTGGTGTCTTGGATTTAGTTCCGTGATGGCCTAATGAAGCCTTCTGAGCACTTGAAGCTGTGTGATTGGTCTTTTTTTCTCCCCGTCATGCAGCAGTATCGGCTGGGAAATAACTGGAATCAAAACACCATAATTATGTCTTGTGGTTCATTTATGTACTGTAATGTGTAAATGATTAATTTGTGGTTAATAATACTATGGTACGAAATGGAACAAATTCAATGGGACATAATATGATTATGTTCAAATTGGTGTTTAACAAAAGCTGGGACACTGATAGATTGTGTGTTTATAAATGCTTTTTTTATTAAGAAACACTTGTTTATTCCTGTATTGCCCTGGAAGATGCAGTGAATTTCAATTTTGCTTGCACTGTAATTCAGATTTTGTCTCTCAACACAAAGCAAAATAACCAAGCGATGCCTTGTAAGTGGAAAAACGTAAAATTTGGGGCACTTTTCCCACGATGGAGAAATGTGGAATGAGTGATTTTCAAAGCAAATTGTTTCTGTGTCAGACCTGTATTTGCGCTCTTGTTTTTTCAGGGTCCAGTGATCAAGTTCAACAGCAACCAACGCTACGCCACCACCGCCGTGACTGCCGCCATCGTCCGAGAGGTTGCCAGCAAGGCCGGCGTTCCTCTTCAGGTAGCGTCGGTGTTGTCGTGGCTAAATTGTGGCCGCTCTGTAGCTGCATAAAAAGAAAAATGCAACAGCTACAGTACACATTCAGTCCTCCTTTCTTCCTCCTGAGCTGTCAGCCCCTGAGGACTTTGCTTCTTCAGCAGTTTCACAGAGCTCTCATTGCTTGATCAAATGTTAATACAGGCCAAGTGTAGACCATTTTATAATGTTTGGAAACAATAAGTGGGGAATATACTTTCAGGCGGAAGAAATTTCATTGAGTACGACTGGACTGAACTGAACCCAAAACAAAACATTGTTGGGGTAATGCTGCCATCTTTTTTCCCAAAAGGACTGTAGCGAATGTGTGATGTCATCGTGAAATTTCCTATACTGTCCGCTGCCCACCCAAATTTCAGCGACCAGTGTGAACTCTGGCTCCTCCTCATGCAGGATGTGATGGTCCGTAACGACAGTACATGCGGATCCACCATCGGCCCCATACTGGCCGCTGGGCTCGGTGTGCCCGTGGTGGACATTGGTGCGCCCCAGCTCGCCATGCACTCAATCCGGGAGATGTGCTGTACTTCCAGCATCTTGCAAAGCACCATCCTTTTTAAGGTAAGCTCCCGTTTTGTGAAACACAGCAAACCACTGAGTCTTCTTCTTCTCGAGTCACTACGTATCATCAGATGATTCCAGTCCATTGTTGGATACATTGTCTGGCATTCGGGGTGAGATCAGCTAGGTCCTCTTGGGTGCAAGGTGTCGGGAGGAGTGGGCAGACAAGGAGATGTTGCATGGTCTGATCCTCTCCACACAGACAAGAGATGTCGCCAGTCTCATTAAACCCCCACTTTATCAGATTTGTTTTGCATCGGCCGACAGCAATTCTCAAGCGGTTACGGCAAGACCAGAGTGGCCATGCTTCACTGGCACCAGATGGTAGAGATTCGCATCGCCTGGTAAAAGACACTTTGTGTGGGGCTTGGGTAAGATGTTCTGTCCACAGAGCGACACGTTGCTTGTCCGGATTTCTGTCCAGAGCCTCTACAGAGTGCAGGAAGCTATGCCTTGATTTGAACCTTTTTGCTGCTGGCTCTTGATTGTAGAGTTGGTGGCGGGTGTCAGTTTCTTGTCTCAGCTTTTCTTTCTGGGATGCAACTGTCCTCCGGATGCTTGGTGGATCAATCCCACTGAATAGGTTTAGGTCATCAACCTTTGTAGGCTTCAAGCAGCCCGTGACAGCATGGCAAGCAGAGTTTAGCACTGTATCAACCCTGGTGGCATGGGCTGATCTGCACCAGACCGGTGATGCGTACTCCGCTGCAGAGAAGCATAAAGCCAACGCTGTTGTACGTACTATCTTGGCATCACTTTGTGTTGGTAAGCTTCCTGAGAATGCTGTTCCCTGATGCCGCTTTAGCTTTGGTCTTTATGATGTGTTCTTTGTAGGTGAGAAACCTGTCAAGTGTCACTCCTAGGTAGACTGGATTTGAGATGTGCTGCAGCCTCTTCCCGTACTAGCTGATCTGTAGCTTGTGATCGGCTTCCCTGTTTTTTAGATGAAACGCACAAATTTGTGTTTTGTCTGGGTTTGCCCTTTGGTGGTTGATGGAATAGTAAGGTGATGGTCCGTATGAGTATCACAATACTAGCTAATATGATGCCGAAAAAAACGCTAATTTTATTGTCTAGAGAGTAGTGTTAAAAAATTGACATTTTTTTGTTGATATTTACGTATTTTTCTGGCTTGTCGCGTTTTCGTTTTGTTTTTCACTGCTACACCTCAAGAAATGTCTGTGACAATGCCTCCTGATCTGTATTCGTCTTTCTGCAGGCTTTCTTTGAGTTGTTTCCCCGTGTGAGGAGCGCGTTGGTGGTCGATTAGAAACAGGATGGAAACAACCAACATGAGGTGGAGTCAATTCAAAAGATGAAGGTACTTGTTGATACAGAAGAGTCACAAGTGCCTTTCCAGCAGCTCCTATATTTTGTTCTTCTACTTCTTCCTTTCATAACTTTGCTGCTGTGAATTGGGAATTTCTCCATTGCGAGACTAATAAAAGATTTCTTATCTTATCTTACCACTTGCTGCAACCACCTGTAATTATATTTGCAATAAAAGGCATTGAAAGACTGAAGTGCTTTGCTTTACTTTGGAAGCTGTTTCAACTCTTTTGGTGATCATGATTTTAAGTTACTTGCTGTCAGCCACCAGTGATGGGGAAATGTGTTAGGATTGTAGTGCCTCTACCCTTTCAACACATGTGATTAGCACTGCTTCGTCTCAGCAACAAGGTTTGGCTTGGGATGTGGATGGAATCCCGGGTAGGGTCTTTTTCTTTGGGTACACCATGGACTGGTCCCAAGTCACTCATGGGACACATATAGACAAACATGTACACTCACATTCACACCGATATGGAGTGTTTGATTAAACTTATTTGTGCGAATGATGTGTGAACTACATGCAGTAAAAACATATTTGAAGTAATTTTGTGCAAAACTCAGACATGACACTGACGTTATGAAAACATAGGAGGTGCAGAGACTACTTAACAGCATTCCAATACACAGTGACAGACAAGTATAGTTTTCATTGTCATCGTTTTACGATTTTACTGTTAGATGTCGTGAGTTCCTTTTTTTTACTGCTCATTTTTGTGCATCGTCAACAAATCGGAATTGTCTTTAGTGTGACCAAGGTCCTGTCAGACCTGTGATTGACAGGTGAGTCGTCCAAGTTTTACAGTTTGAATAAGCTCCATCTTAGGTGTAGACATTAGCTAGAATTGTCTTACTCTTGTTATAAAGTATGTACATTCATATGTGCTCTCCCCCTTGAAGTTGTTTATCTCTGAATGAAAAACTATCATACTTATTTACAGTTTATCAAAAATAATGAGCAGTAATAATCGGTGTCATTTTTTTCCTTTTCCTTGTGAGCGAAAAATGTTGACTTTTTTTTTTAATATACTGTACTGTCATTAAATTCAGCTTTAGTTTCAGATCAAAAACACAAAATGGAGCAGACCACAGGACTTAGTTTGATTTTAATATTTACTTATTCGTGTTTACTTCGGGCAGCACAGCGGATGACTGGTTAGCACGTCAGCCTCACAGTGAAGAGAGAGGTACAGGGTTCGAGTCCGGCCCGAGACTTCCTGTGTGGAGTTTGCATGTTCTCCCCGTGGATTTTCCCTGGGTACTCCGGTTTGCTCCCACATTCCATAAACCTGCATGGGAGGCTAATGGCCCCCTTTAAATTGTCCCGAAGTGTGATTGTGAACGCGAATGGTTGTCGTCTATGCTTGCCCTGGGATTGGCGAGCAACCAGCTCCAGGGTGTACCCCGTCTACTGCCCAAAGACGGCTGGAATAGGCTCCAGCATGCCTGCGACCCGCGTGGCAAAAAACAGATTATCAAATGGATGGATGTTTACTCTGTAGATTACTACTATTAAAGCTACGTTGGCAGCCCCAATCAGAAAAGTCACGGCGACCATCCGTTAATTTAAATGACTTCCTGTGTATGTCGTCGTGTTGTGTGGCGCCCCCTTTTGGTGAGGATCCGCACACGTCGCCCCACTTGCCTCCATCTCAGCAGCAGAAGAGACAGGAGAGCTGGCGAGCTGCAGCCTGGAGCTTATTCTCGACGATGGACAGCTGCTAGACGGGCAACAGCGTGAGCGGCTCACTTCCCTCTTCACTCCAGTGAATCTCGGCTGGACCATGAAGTGTTGTCGGCTGTGGGTGGCCATATGCCTCCTCCTCAACGCCTCCTGTCGCTTCAGTTTGGCTGCCCGACACGGTAAGAGGAGCTCCTCTGCACACTCTTTAACCCCCCACCCCAACCCCCCGATCTGATTTAACAGCAATATTTAGTCCCTACATCATAGTATGCACTTACTGTATCAACATCATTATATTTGAGCCTTATCGCTTATGTAAATGATCAAGTAGCCTATATGATGAGCTGTAATGAGTCCACTCACCATCTGATGCAAATCATGGCTTCTGGCCGGATGGATAATTTTGTTATCCAGAGGGAAGCAACAAGCAGGGAGATATGATAAGCCTATAAAATAACGTTTTTTAAAAATCTGAACCATGACAACAGGGGTGTCAAACTCATTTTAGTCGCCGGCCAATTTGAAGTTATGTCTTCCCTCCGAGGGCTGTTATGACAGTGAAACCACAAAATGATAACTTGTACACAACAAATTAATAGATTACTAGTTTTGAAATCAGTCGATTGTAATAGTGTGTTCAATTATTGTTCAAGTGAGTTTAAACAGGGTAGCAAAATCTCAATGTCATTTGTCACACGTGACAATTTGACATTTCGGTACAGATTTTAGCAAGTCGACACACATGATTTGCTTTCGCGGGCCACATAAAATGACCTGGCGGGCTAGATGTGGCCCCCGGGCCTTGACTTTGACACCTGTGCATTACACGATGAGAATATTACACTGCTGTATGTTCTAGTACAATGGTTCTCAAACTTTTTTTTTTTTACTCTAAATACCACCTAAAAAGTGTGTCTTGCTCTAAGTACTGTACCACTATCATGACCAGCATTAGAATACAGTTGTGTGGCAGGCCTAGTAGTCGTCATCACCGAAACAGGGATTTTATTCCTAAATATATTTAATAGAATTGTAAGCCAACAAGATGCAGCTAGTGGATAATTGGTTAGACTCACAATTCCGAGGTTGGGGGCATTCCTGTGTAGGGTTTGATGGTCTCCCCGTGATTGAGTGGGTTTCTGTGGGAACTCCAGCCTCATCCCACAAGCATGTTGGTTAATTGACGACTCTCAATTATCCTTAAGTGACAATGTGAGTCCTTGTTGTTTGGTTACCTGTTACTGGCTCACAACAACGACATTAGTAACATTGATATCCATAACTTTGTTTTGAGTTGTAAACTTTCTACAGCCCAAATTTGAATGAAGTGTTGAGCAGTCGACGGGATTCGGCAACTCGTTTTCATGGGTGGCCAACTGCTGGCCAATAGTTTTGCAGTGATTCAAAATCTGAATAATTGATAAACGGCATCGCAATATGGCTGCTGTAACAGCCAATCAAGATGCACATGAAAGGAGAAAAGCGAGACCCAGCTGGTTGGAGAGTCTCTGTCATTGAAATGCAGAGTTGAAGCCAGTGGCTGCAGCAATCAACCATTGCCAACAGTCTCTGAAAATAGTCACTATTTCTCCTCTTATTGTCTCTAAGGCAATCCGCGTCTTCCTTGACAATCGTCTGAGCAAAGTATTTTTTCATGTGGAGTCTCCTCTCTTATATTTTGTCATCCGGAAATCCCCTCCTCGGGAACATTTTAACCTACACATCTTATCTTTCAAAGGATATTTTTAATCACTGACCACTAGTTGTAGTGATATTATAGTGACGCTATCAATCATGTCTATACTTGGCCTTGTACACTGTCAAGCAGGATCATGGTGGAGGAAATGAGGCCTATAGCAGTCCATTGGAGAAGGAGTCAATATTGTGTGTGCTCACAGAGGGACAATAATACTCACACGCTCGCCCATTTCTTTGAGCCGCTTCGGGCTGCTCTTACGGTGGTGCAGTTACAGTGATTCTGGCCTCACACTCAGGTCCAAAGTTGAACTTGCTGGCTCACCTGCCACTCAGCAGGAGTACCATCCTTGCCTTGTGTGCTTCTCTTTCAGAATATTAAGCAACTATAAGTACAGACAACGTTCTATTTTGCCAATCGACAAATAAAGTTATCTCAAGATCTATCCATGGTCAAGAAACACACTCTTCATTCATTATAGAAAATCAACTGAACCCTTCATTTGGCAACAGAATCAAGGAAAAAAAACACTCAAAGGAAGAAACCTTGAATAGAATGCAAGCTCTGTTGGGCAATGGAAAAGTAATCATGTCCAATGGCTCTTTCTGGTCCCATTCTACCACCCATAATTTTTTTGTTGAAATTGAACCTGCACACCACTGAAACCATTACCTCCTTTTAGGGGATCGTTTCAAGGGTCTTGCAGTGTATGACATTTCATCATGTTTTTGGTACATGTTTAAGTTCACATTTCGGTGCTCAATTTTTGTGAAATTTTTATGAACCGTTTTTTTTTTTCTTTCGGAAGCCAGAGATTCCTGTAATTTCTCTAGCTGTGTGGCCCGAGTCAAGTGGGTGGGTTCGGGTGGGGTGGGTGGTGTTTCATGTGTGGGTGGCTCCCTGTACGTTTCCAGGGGTGCCCAAACGCTTTGGACTGAAGATCGACTTTTCGATCAACCAACCTCCAGCGATTGACCGGTTACCGCCCACGCACGCCATAATGAGCAACAGCCTGACATGGAGGCATACGACGCACTTTTGCAGCCTGTTAACTATCGTAGCTCACATGTGCCGTTTTAAAGTGCTTCACTCGGCCCTCTAGATTCCTATTCTTTACCCGTGCCCTGGGTGAATTGTACACGAAACAAACTCTGAATGAGAATAATGATAACGATAAAAGATATAGCGCAATAGCTCTGATCACAAGCTGCAATTGCAGACTGCTGAGCGCTAACAACTTCTGGTGACGCAGGTCACGCGCCACCGTAGGTTAAAGATTTACCTGATTTATTTTATTTTATAAATACTTTTTGTGAAAATGAGACTGAAAGGATGATTAGGGCAGAGTTTACATTAACACAAAAAATATATTACTAAGATGCACAAAGACATGCAAATGGTTGTTTGTTTGTTTTCTCCTCGACACCCCTCACGATCGACTTGGGACCAGTCTGCGATCTGCCGGTCGATCGCGATCGATGTGATGGGCATCCCTGAGCCTTTAGCCAGTCATCTAGCCATTCAGTGCCGATTGTTGCATCTCTTGTCTCATGTCAGTGTGATGTTTTTGTACTCCACATGGTGTCCTGAATAAGCAACTGACTCTCTTGGAACAAAAATTATATTTTCGCAAATCTCTTAATTAAGTCAGCTGATTCACCCCTGCCTCCCGGGAAGTCATCACACATTACACACAGCATCATGATAGAACCTTAATGAAGTCAAACAGGTGTGAATAATGAGAACAGAGCGAGTGGCCTCCCATCTGCTGCTGTTTACCTCCTCGCTAGATTCAGAAAGGTCAAGTGGAGAATACACACATTTACTAAGGTTAAAATCCACCCTAGTTCTGTCTCTTTATTTTATTTTATTTATTCACTTATTTATTTATTTGGGGGTCGGGGGACAGGGGTCTACACTGAATTCAGAGTCTGTTCCTTGTTTACAGGTTGCTTATTTGAGAAGAAGCTTTGTCCCAGAGATGAGCTGTGCAGTGATGGTGAGTTTGTACATCGGTCGTCAGTTTGGAGTGCTGCTTTTACAACCTGATGCTTCTTTCTAGTCATAACCATTTGCGATATCCCTCAAACCATAATGAGCCTACGGTTTTCTTCTAACTTAATGACATGTCATTTCAACTCAGTGTGAACCTGTGGCTTTCATGGCTGCATTGTCAAAGCTTCCTACTCCCACTAGACTTCAGGGTGCAATTGATGAGTGTAAAGATCGACTAAATAGATCAGTTTGCACTCCAGGAGTTCTGCAGAAATAATCATCCATAAGCGGCATAAAACCTAACGTGGATATGTTTGGAGCACTGAAACAAGTGTATGTCTGTGAAGAGGATCGTTTTGTCTACGAGATTCACGACAGCATACGCGAAGATAGAGAGCGAAAGAATCAAAGTGGGTGGAAGCGCAACGCGAACGTCGTCTCCACCGTCAGCGGCTATCCGCCAAGTGCAGGCTGTGGAAGCTGTTACTATGGTGACAGTGACATCACCTGCCTGACGACTGTGTTCCTTCCTTGTGTGTGTGCGTGTGTCTGCGTGCTTGTTTTGATCAGAGATAGAGGGAGTAGAGATGCGATGAGTCACGGCGCACACGTACGCACATGCACACACACGCACGCACGCCGAGTCATATCACTTCTGCAGTGCATGTTGATGAGTGTGTGAAAGTGCAGTAAACTCATTGGCAGTAAAGTCACATCATAAGAAGCAGCAGTTTGGCAGATATTGAGTCATCCTTGTAAAAGGAGGCTTCAAGCGGTTTATTTCACTCCCTGGTGAAGTTTACGATCAAAGTAAACATAAAACAAAGAGACCTACATGTGTATTTAAAACAACCACAGAGCAATAATATGTTCTACAACGAGTTAGGTATGACACGGCTTCTTATGTAATCTACTGCATTCCCTTGCAGATGGTTTGTTTGGACAGTGCTGGGCTCCTCACCACGATCCGGTCCAGTATTTGGTTTCTGTTCCTGCTCTGCATAAGCTGCAGGAGGTTCTTAAAGACCTGATGGCTCAAGGTGAGTCTCATCAACAACTTTCATTGCAAAAAATGCAGATATCACCCTTAAAACCTGTGCGGGCCGAGCAGGCATGACCTGGAGGGATGAGATCACCCAGGCGACAATCGGACGAGAGTTGAGTCACATTCCGTCAATTAGGTCCTCACAGCTTCACCAGCGCAATCAGTAAGAAATGTCACACCAGCACAGCCTGCCGACGAAGATCGTAAAGGAGCCTTTTAAAATCCTTGTATTCACTCCCGTGTTTACAGGCTGCTCACTCAGCGAAGGTTTCCGAGACCGGAGGAGGCAGGCGACCCGCAAAAAATACAACAGCGCAGAAACTACCTGGCACTCGACCCCTCTTCGTCCTCGATTCATGGGCTGATGCCCCTGCTGGAGCCGTACATTTACCAACAGGTAGCCAAATAGAAGTGACCGCATGAAATGTGAGCTGTTGTGTTGCAGGAGTGCACTTGCAGCAGGAGTTGGGCCATCAAATGCACCATAGCCAAAATAAAATCACTAATTATTAAAAGACACCACAAAAGATTGATCAGTGTTGTGTCCAAGGACCGGCAACCCGAGGCCAAGGCCAAGGCCAAGGACTTGCCTCCGAGGCCAAGGCCAAGGACTTGGAAAATTTTCCGAGGCAAGGCCAAGGCCAAGGACTTGAGAAATTTTCCGAGGCCAAGGCCAAGGACCAAGGACTTGCTTCTGAGGCCAAGGCCAAGGACCAAGGACTGATTTTGAAACAGAGGCGTAGCCAAGGACATGTATTAAACAATGCTATCATACCACTTGGCAGGTCCTCATGATTTGCAACACCCCTCCATCATAACCCTTTGCACTCCCTAACACTTGAATGAAGTGTTTTTATTCAAAGAGTAGAACAGTCAGGGTACGTGTTATTTATACTGAGAAAAAGAAATAAAATCATATGATATACATTTATGAATGAATGTTTTAGTGCAGTAGTTTCTTAATATGAAGTAAATCAACACTCAACAGGCATGA